TGTATTAGACTCTACAGTTAAGGTGTGTAGAATGGACTCAGTAGGTGCTATTTCTCTTTGGGCTTCCTAAGGAAGAGAGAATGCCAATCTGCCTCAGTAGACTCCTTAAGAGCATTCTGGTTAGTACTCTTAACCATTTTCCTTGGTCCAGAGCATTGATGTGAAGTATGTCATTAGTATTTAATGTCATGACATATATTCTATAGTCTTTTGAATGTGTTAATTATTTGACTAAAATTACTAAAGGGAGAAAAAAAATCCTATGCAGGGGCTCTTCCTTAGTTAAGAATATTGTACTATTATAGGTTATTCACACCAGAGAAACTATTCATTATTTACACATGTGTGACTTACTTATTTCACTTAGGAGTATATCCTCAATATGTATCCATTTTCCTATGAATAAACTATAATAGTACATAAGATCCTAATGAGATAATTGACAATGTGAAATAGGAAGAAAAGGGCTAAAGGTGTAGGGAAAGTGGGAAGGGTAGGGGAAAGGGAAAAGAAAAAAATAGGAGAAAATGAAAAAATGGAAATAAAGTGTTTGTAAATAGGGAGGAGAGGTGGGGGTGAAGGGAGGGCAGGGACGAGGGGAAAAAATGAGAACCAAGACCTGTCATGTAAAGGTACAAGATCCCAATAATGAATGTAACTGTACTGTATATCTAAAATGCACCAATAAACTCAATGAGGGGAAAAAAAAATATATTGTAAATTACATACTGCCTTGAATTTTTAACATATTACCAAGTTCTGGGATTATAGGATATGTTTGAGTGGATTTAGCATGGTAATTTTTTGCTTTATTTGTATTTATTATAATATAAGCCCTTACACATTCATCTTTTAAGTTGCTCCAGAAATCTGACCATTATCTTTGACTCCTCTCTTTTACTTAAATCACAGGCATCTGCCACTTCTCCGAATATATATGTACATATGTTAGGATATAACCACATCTTAAGAGTTCCACTGTTATTTTTCTACTTCAAGTTACCATCAGTTTTTACCTCAGTTATAACAGAAAATTTGTTACTGATGTTTGTTTCTGACCTTTTCTCCCTTCAGTCTACTTGCAATTCAGTAGTCACTATGATCTTCTTAAAGTGAAAGTCCCATCTTGCTTTGCCCCATGTTTTTACCTCCAAGACCCATAGGATTAGGCTTGGCTTCCAATTTCTTATTTGACTTAATCACTTATTTGTCTTTTCCTTTTTCATGTTGGCCTCAAACATACTGGGCATGCTTCCACCCGGCCTTTGTGATTTTTCACTGCTGATTTGCAGATGTACATATCTCATGCCTCACACCATCATCTGTTTTAGAGTTTTATTCAAATGTTACTTTCTGGGAGGTATAACCTGACTACATTACTTAAGGTTGCAAGTCCTTAACTTTTCCTAAACACTCTCCTTTTTTTATGAAGTGTACTTATCACCTTTCAACACAACATGTTTTACTTACTAACATTGTCTATTTTTGCTTATCTCCATTAGAAATATTCTTCCTGTATTTGTGGATTTTTGTCTGGTGATTCTTTGTTTTATCTGTAATACCTAGAATAATACCTAATCATAATACGTACTTATCACATATTTGTTGAATGAACTGCCAACTCTTATTGGGCTTTAAAAAAAAAGTCTATGTAGATATTAAAGGTAATGGTTATTACTTATATGATGGCTTCTTTTTATTTAAAAAATTTAATAGCATTTGTATTAACAAATAAGTCATCATATAATTCTCATACTCAAAGTATACGATTCATTGATTTTTTTTCAATATATTCAGAGCTTTGCAATCATTAGCACAGTAAATTTTAGAATATTTTCATACCACAAAAGAAACTGCATAATTATCAGCACTCACTTCTGTTTTCTTTCCCTAATTCTCACCAGTCCTAAGTAGCCATTAATTTGCATTTTGTCTGCACTGTGCTTACTTTGAACATTTCCTATCAGATCAAATACTATGTGGTCCTTAATGATTGGTTTCTTTCAGTGTGCATGTTTTCAGAATTCAACCATGTTACAGCATTTACCAATACTTTTCTTTTTATGACCAAATAATATTCTATTGCATATATACACATTTGTCTTTTTAATGTCATTTCTTAAATTCTCCATACTCTAGACCCTTACCAAATACATGATTTGCAAATATTTTTACCTATCCTGTGTGTTGTCTTTCTCTTATGGTGCTTAAGAGAGACAAAAAGTCCTAATTTTGAGGAACGTGTATTTATTTTTATTTGGTTGCTTGTGTTTTTTTCATCATACATATAAAACCAGTGCTTGATACAAGGTCAAAATTTACTCATTTGATCTTTTTCTCAAATTCCACTGAACTTGAAAGATCACCTTAGATGCAAATAAGAATTCAAAATCATTTTGAAAATTATTCTTCTAAAAGTTTTTAGTTTTAGTTCTTAAATTTAGATTCACTTTGAATTAATTTTTGTATATGATACATGATAGGTGACCCATTTCATTCTTTTGTGTGTGGATATTAAGTTTTTGTAAAAAATAAAACAAAACAAAACAAAACCAAAAAACAAACCTCTGCTTCACACACACCTCCAACTCCCTACCCAGTTGGAATGTTTGGCACCTTAATTAGAATTCAGTTGACTGTACATTTGAGGGTTTATTTCTAGATGCCAGAATGTTTAATTCCATTCCATTATTTATGATAATATCTGATTCATTACTATCTGAAGTCTCCGAAGTAGATGGTTTCTTTTGAACTGTACACTTACCTTGTCTAGATGTGCTTATTAGCTTGGAGTCTTAACAAATTTTCTGGAAGACTAGGCTATTTACTTGAAAAAAGTTTTCCAAAAACATCCCCTGCTTAATGTGTTCTTTTATTTGCCTCTGTGGAATTGTAAATTTCAGAGAATGTTCTGGTGGCTTCCTTTCCTTGTCTTCAGTCTTCTTGGCTTCCCTTGAACTATTAAATTTGAATTCTTACTTGCATCCCTCACTGATTGAACTCAGGACTTTGTGTTTGTGAAGCAGCACCACTAAGCTAAGTTCCTGGTCCTCTTATTGGCACCCTAAGTTCTTCTTTCAAGACCAGTGGAATTTGACAGCAAGGTCAATTAGTTTCACATTTGTATGGCACATGGTGCACTTTAAGCACTGTATAACTAACAATGCCCTGTTCTAATCAAATATATCCATTATTGACAAACTTTCTGGTATGTGGCTTGAAGGTAATGAAGTCATCTGTTAGTCATCCTATGCTGGACCACACAGGTACTTTTCATTTCAGGCTATTAATCTTAGCAGGTAAACTTCTAATCCAAGAAGTTGTAAATTCTTTTGATACAGCAGAAAGATGGGAAATTGGTTCTCTTTGATACTGTGCAAAGATTGACAGAAATAACTAGAGTATGGCTAATTCTGTTTATGTGTCACTTCCAGTCAGTCAGCTACATAGTAATGGACCCCTGTCCAAGCTTCTACCTTCTTAAACTCCTAAAATACAAATTTATCTTGACTATACAAATATCTGATGCATATCATTGCTCTCAAAATAGTATATAGTAATAGTATCATTAGTGTAACACAGTTATTATACTTTCCTTCTTTAAAGATATATTTCATTTTAATAAATTAATTTCCTTCGAATTACAAGATCTATGGGAGGCTATTAATGGAACGTATTTGTATACTGGCAGTGTGGTAAGAAGAATGCCAGCTGCCATATTCTTCATCAGTGTATTGGTCCCTTTGGCATGGTTCTTTAACCAAGCGTGTATAAGTGAAGTCACCTATTTTGTGATTGTCTTCAGGTCTTCTTCCACATTTTCCTCCCTAAGTGTTAGCAAATGATTCGATTTTACCAGATCTTCTAACAATTAGAAACTTTTATTCTTTCATTGATTTAGCTTCCTGTGTGTGCTATACTCTTAATTGTTGCTTACTGTACAGAGGTGAGGATACGGCTTCAGCTTTTGTCCAGAGACTGGGCATTATAAAAAAGATATTGCTAATTGATTCCCTCAAATTTTATATAACCCATTGTACTCTGAGAACATAGAATAATAATCTGTTCATTAAAGCAAACAAAACATTGGTGCCCACCATGAGCCAAAAAGTTTGACTTGTCCATGCCGTGTCTGTGAGAAAGAGACATTTATTTAAGTTGCAGTTATAGCCACCTGGGTTATGGGTAAAAAAGCATCTTGCGCCAGATGATGCAGAGAACTAGAGTAACAAAAACCAAGGTGGGTACCAAACAAGAGTTGGGAGTAAGGCAAGGCCAGGTATTTCAGGGTCATGTAGGCTGCACTGAGGGCTTTGTTCTCTTTTCTAAGAACTCATTGGATTTTTTCATTTCAAAGTTCTATTTTATACAGACAAATTAGGTCTCAATTGTAGGCCAGCTACCTTTTATTCAGAAATACTGGTTTCTCAATAGAAAGCATTAAATTTTAAAAGTTTGTTTTCTTTAGAGCAGTAGTACTTTACCAGTTTAAGTATATTTAAGAATAACCTAGAAGACTTCATAAAACAGATTTGGGGGCCCCTCCAGAGAGTCTGTAAGTCTAGATGAGTTCAGCATCTTAAGTTGTGAGAAGTGTTGAGATTTTGTCAGCTGCAAAACTCATTTTTTGTCATTGTTCCCTTTGTGTAAAGAACAAAGAATCATTTTTAGTCATAATAATAACCATGAAATAATTTTTTCTTTGGTAATATATTACATACACCATAGAATATATAGATTGAATGTAGTAGAAAGCAGCAGTGAGAAACTGAGGTATTGAAAGCAGTATCTGGGACTTAGCTCTAGAAATTAAGATATATCAAATAAGAGAAATTATGATGAACAAAAATTTAACATTTTTAGTACTGTTGAGATTTTGTAAATTTTTTTGAGATTAGTAATTTAGGTCAAAACAATTTGAGATTTTGTAGTACTTGCTATTTAAACAAGAGCAGTAAGTCTGAATTACTGAATTTGCTTTTTAATTTTTGTTTTTCTAGATTTAATTACTTGTTTGGATACTGCATCCAATTTTTTGGAACCTGAGTTCAGGTATGGTCATATTTGTGACTTGTGTGTATGTATTTAAATGTTTCTCTTAATCTACTTCTCATTGTGTTACACTGAAGATTATCATATAATGTGTGACACATAATCATTGTTTGGAGACTTCAGTAAACTAGAGCTAATTTAAACTATTTAGTTGCAATATTTAAATTCTGCTTTAATTGTAACATTTAGATATTAAAGTGTATAATTTTATACACTTTAAAATTAGAACTATTTGCCAAGACCTGTGTAAAGGTACAAGATCCCAATAATGAATGGAACTGTACTATATACTGAAATTGTACCAATAAACTCAATGAGGAAAAAAAAATGAAACAAAAAAAAGTAGAACTATTTGCTTTTTAAAATCTGACAAAACTATTGCTAAAAATAGAAAAGCTATTTCTCTGTTTTTTTTTTTTTTTAAGAAAAGGGAGGGGATGGTGGAGGCTGTAACTGAATTCTTCAGTGTTCTTATTAAGTAGCATTTGTAGTACTATTTCTATGCTTTCTACCTTTGTTTTTTGCCCAGACTAGCATTACTGTTTAATTGATCTCCCATTTCTAATCTTTGCTAGCTTTCTTTTGTTCATGCTACCAAGTAGTTTTAAAAAATACATAATGATCATTTACCTCCTTAAAAATGTTGCAAGACTATTGTGATTAAAAACTTCAGATTCCTTAGCTTCATCATCAGTCTTTCACGAATAGGCCCTGGGTCACTTTTCCAATCTCATCTACATATATGCTGTGATTTACACTGCTGTGAGCTGTCAGAACTCTTGCTTGGAACCACTTTACTCTGGTTTGCTTGGCAAAGTCATTCTCATCTTTTAAAACCCTTTTCACTAGCCTCCATTCAACTTGCTCCCTTTCCCAAAGAACCTTAATTTGTCTTCAAGAATGTTCTCTTTCTCTTTGGGAAGAGTGCCCTGTTCTGCATCAAGGGAGTCTATTTAGCAAGAGTAATGTTCCCTCTACTGTTCAGCTCCATCACCATCACTTACAACCAAACTGCCAGCATCCCTCTGCTGGGTTACTGCACTACCTTCCTGATGGTGTCCCAGCCTCCACTCATGATTCCTTACGCACCACTCCCCCAGGAGCCAGAATAATCATACATAGTGGATGAAGAGAAACGTGACTACACACACGTCATGGTAATTATGTACATATGTAAGCTGTCAAAATCCTTTATTCGCCTCTGTACTGTACTTAGAAATAATCCCATGCTCCTTTCCCACAAGGCTTCCATATGATCTACTCCCTGCCCATCTCTCTGGCCTTCCTTTTTTTGCTCAGTGTACTCTGCCTGGAGTGGCCATTCACGCTTACAGGAAGACACCTGCCAGCTGTCTTGCCTCAAGGCCATGCTCTTTCTAGTGATTGGTGTGCATTTCTACCACTTGTTCCAGTGGCATCTAGCAGCTCACTGCTGAAACCTCACTTAGCAAACCCCTATTCCCTGACGGAGGCTATGCAGAGCCCTGTGTAAGAGAGCAGACTCTAGACCATCTCCTATCTACCAGCTCTGTGACATACATGGGTACATCATTGTTCAGTTGTCTTATCTGTAAAATTAGGATAATAATACACAGGATCTACATAAGATAAAGAATAATTACCTGAATTACTTAAAACACTTAAGATATTGTCCAATACATAGCAAGTTTACTAAATGTTTATATTACTTTTACTTAGTTAGAATTATCCTGATTATTTCAGAGTGCCTTTTCTTTATGACAGAATCAAAATCTAAATATTTGTATATTGGCTGATTGTTTTTTTTCTACCACCAGAATGTAAGGGCCATATTTGTTTGGTTACCCTTTTTAAACTCAGTTTCAGGCCCAGACCAGACATTCAGCAGACTACATAATCGACATTCCCATAAGTTTGAGGAATATGATGAATAGATCTTATAATAGAAATATGTCTGCCGTTCATTACAAAGTAAGATAAAGCAATATGTAGAATGTGCAAATATTTTTGTAAATATATGGCTTAAGAGATGCTGAAAGTGTGTATAGAAAAAATGCTGAGGAAGCTTTTTCGAAATGATTCTCTCAGGATGGTAACATTATGCAAGTTAGTTACATTGAACTAAAAAATACATGTGTGATATTTTTTGCTTTTCTCCAGACAGTACAGCATTAACATAAACCATTATGTGTTTACATTTTTCAGTAAGTACTGCCCACCTGGTTGTCTCCTTCCTTTTGCTGAGATATCTGGAACAATTCCTCATGGATATAGAGATGTGAGTTGGACATAGACTTATTTTAAAGTTGCAATGTAACTTTTTAAAAATTGTAGAATATTTAGATGTATATTTGTTATATGTTTTTACCTTTTAATTTTTAGGAATTATTTCTTTTTAGTAATAGGCAATGTTGTATTCTTTTTCTTCAAAAATGTTATGGCATCAGTACTCTATGTGAACTGCCCCAATCAACTGATTTCCTGAGGAAGCAGAATTGTCTTGATTATGAATATGAAAAGAAAATTTAAATTAATATTTTCTCTTCCCTTCTTTAAGTCTTCACCATTATGCATGGCTGGTATACATGCAGGAGTAGTGTCGGATATGTTGGGTGGCCAAATCAGTGTTGTAATTAGTAAAGGCATCCCATACTATGAAAGTTCTTTGGCCAACAACGTCACATCTGTGATGTAAGTACATACACTGTTTATAATAAGCATGCTGGGGATGGGAGACTAACTCAATCTCAACAAGATCACTCTTAGAAGGTGTCTGTGAAGTAACATGGAGTAGGCATTCACATTTGTGTTCTCACTGTGTTGAGTATTTTCAGGCTAGGCAGTGTTGTACTATTATAGATCATTATACTTCAAAAAAGTCATTTGAAAGGGTGATTTGTTTCTTCATGTTCTAAGTCTTAAAAACATCTGGGCCAATAGTCTAGAAATTTGTTGCCAAATTCTTACTTTATTGTGAAAATCAGAAGGCCTATTGTATCCCTTACAGTCCATGCAAACCAGGATGGATTGAAATTCTTTGAGTGTAAAATAAATTTTGACACAAAAGTGGTATTATGATTCTCTCATCCCAAGAGGATATTGAAAAATATGTCTTCATGGATTTTAAAGTGTTCTCCTGTTTTATGAAACACAGAATAGGCATCAGAAGCAGAAGTTGATATTATATACAAATGTAGTGCATTTTTATAAATCTTGCCTCTGAGTATGTTCAGTCCTGTAGACAACAGTAAGCCTAATTGAAGCCAGTGTTTCATCAGAGGTCCTAAGTCAGATTCATTCAGTAGACATGAGCATGGTCCATACCCAGGTCAAAATAGAGCATGAGTCGGCAGTCTTTTTCTAAAGATCTAGCAAATACTACCCCCCCACCAAAAAACACACTACCGACTCCTGCTCTATCTTGATCTGGGTATGGACCATGCTCATAATGAATTAAGACCATGCTCTAAATGAATTAAGAGTTATACCACAGTGATATATGTGCACCCATGTTTATAGTGGCAAAGTTTGTAATAGCTAAAACTTGGAATTAGCCCAGTTGCCCATCAGTTGGAGACTGGATGAGGAAGCTGTGGTTTTTCTATAAAATGGAATACTACTCAGCCATAAAGAATGAGAAACTAGAGTCATTCATAGGAAAATGGATGCACATTGAGGCCATATTCTTAAGTGAAACAAATAAAACACACGTGTAAATACCGAATAGTTTCTCTGGTGTTAAAAACTAAAAGTGTAACAATGCAAAATAGGAAGAAAAGGGCTGAATGTGTAGGGGAAGTGGGAAGGGTAGGGGAAAGGAAATAAGGGAAAAGAAAAAATATGAGAAAATGAAAAAATGGAAACAAACTCTTTGTAAATAGGAGAGGTGGGGTGAAGGAAGGGCAGGGGTGTGGGGAAAAAATGAGAACCAAGGTCTGTCCTGTAAAGGTACAAGATCCAAATGATAAATGTAACTGTACTTAAAAAGTACCAATAAACTCAATGAGGAAAAAAAAAAGGTCTAGCTAGTGGATAGTTTAAGCTTTATGGGCTACATATATCTGTCACTTATTCTTTATTCACCACTTTTTAACCATGGAAAAATCACTCTTAGCCTACTGGCTATACCAAGAGATCATGCATGGGCAGGCGGTCATTTCTCCATTGCTATTTTAAAGTTACCAGTCAGCTACCTTTCTTTTTGGTTTTTGTTGTTTTGTGTGTGTGTGTGTGTGTGTGTGTGTGTGTGTGTGAGAGAGAGAGAGAGAGAGAAGAGAGAGAGAGAGAGAGAGAGAGAGAGAGAGAGAGACTGGGTCTCACTATATAGTTCAAGCAGTCTTTGTACTCTATAGCCAAGGCTGACCCTGAAATCCTGGCAATTTTCTGCCTCAGCCTCCCAAGTTCTGGGATGATAGGTGTGTATTAGTAAGCCTGACTTTTTTATTTTTGTTTTGGGTTTTTTTTGAAACAGAGTTTCACTATGCTACCTTTCTTTGGGCTTGTGCGGGACTTTATATATATCTTTCTCCTATTCTACCTTTAGAAAGAACTTTTGTGTATATAAATTCTTTCATACTTCAAAAACATGTAAATAGATTACATTCCCTTCTAACATTTTGTTAATTGCAAGATTGTAACTGAGGACTTCATTCTTCTAGGTTCCCTGGAGCCTTATGACCAGCCATCTAGTGAACTTCTCACTTGTCTTGCTCTTCCATTCACATCACTTCACCCATTCTGGCCCTTCCTTTGAAATTCAGAAGTGATGCTACATTCTAATACTGAAACTGGAAATACTGCACCCTCTGAATGCAATCTATTGGTAGCCAGCTCTTCTTCTCTTTACTCTAAGAAACATGAGCCCCTTTTTCTGAAAATACATCTTTATTCTTTCATCAAAAGTAAACTTGCTATTTCACAGAAAAGATTTAGGAGTTAATTTATATTATGAAAAAAATATATAGTAAAGGTTATATACACATACTTGCATAGTCATGTGTGAAGCTTTGTACTAAATTCTTGGAGAAAAAGCTGTTTATCCTGATTTCAAAAATTGCTCTTCTTAGAAATGGGATTTTCTTTTAAAGAACATCAGTTGTCTAATTTTTAGCCATGAAAGTTTCACTAATAGGAAGTCATGTGTTATGTGTGTATCATGAGAAAATACCTTTTTCTTTTTCAGGGGACACTTATCTACAAGTCTTTTTACATTTAAGACGAGTGGTAAGCCTTTCATGGAATTTCTAACATAATTTATTTGTATAATAATTAATTTTTTCTAACACCAACTGTTAGTCAAACACTGCTGGGTTTGTTTTGTTTTTTTGTTTTGCACCTTCTTATTTGCCATAACAACACTATGAATAAAATAGGTACTTAATTACACAATAAAGTGGATCTTCTCTACTTTGTAAGAAGGGGGCTTCCTTAGAGAGGATGACTTTGATGAGATTATATGTGTTCAGGGTGGTATGCTGTGGACACAGGATAACTTTTGAACTTGTGCAGCAGAAATTATTTGTTGAGTGCAACTTTTCATTTGACAGATATTATTCTGATGATAGTGATACAACAGCAAGCAAAATAAATACACAGCCCTCATAAAGAGTGTTACATGTTAACAAAGACCAAAAAGAGGTAAAGGAGCAGGTCGACCACTTGGTAGAGGTCTCAGAGTTGGTGATACACCTCCATACATTAACAGTCATTACTTATACATGCATTGTCAGCCCTCTGCAACCATGAGTTTCATATGTGCACATTGACAGTACTTGGGAAAAAAATTGCATCTTTACTGAACATGACAGACTTTTTCTTGTTTTTGCTCCTTCAATAATATAGTATAACAACTGTTTACATTGTATTAGGCATTGTAAGCAATCTACAGAAGGTTGAAAGTAAGTGGTACCTCTGTTCACAAATGCTTTTAATTGCAATCAATATGATTTGCAAACAGCAGTATTTGGCAAAATTTTGTTTTTGTTTGCAAATTCTACATCAGGTGATAAACCTGACTCTGGGCATCTTTCCCATACAAACACAAACATGGCCATCTTTTCCAATAGCATAGAAAAAATTAAGTGCATGAACTGAAGTACTGTATACAGAAAGAATATATAGGATATGTGCTAATTATGTAGTATTTTATATGAGGGAATTGAACATCTATGCATTTTGGTATCTGCTTGGTTACAGGAGGTTGGGTCTCAGACCCAATCTTCTGTGGATATTGAGGGGTATGTATGTGTAAGATTCTTCATGATACAAAGATAGGGATCCAAGAAGCACTTGCCTAGTTGTGTAATAGAAAGTAAGTTTATTGTATAGGTTTTAAATTCCATCTGGAAACCAGATTTTTTTTTTTTTCAGGTTGTTATGGAACACTGGGCATGGAATCTGGTGTGATTGCTGACTCTCAGATAACAGCATCATCAGTACTGGAGTGGACTGACCATACAGGGCAGAAGAACAGTTGGAAACCTGAAAAGGCCAGACTGAAAAAACCTGGACCTCCTTGGGCTGCTTTGGCCACTGATAAAAATCAGTGGTTACAAATAGATCTGAATAAGGAAAAGAAGATAACAGGTTAAAAGGCATAATTTTCTATAGTGATTGGTAATACTGATTTTATTTGGAAACTGGTAACATCGAAGATTTTCATAGAAAAATTAAATCATAGAAAATTAGGTCACTGAAAATTTAATTATATAGTTTCAGTTTTTCTTCACTGCTGCTATTACTAAAGAGAGTTTTTGTTTTTTTGTTTTGTTTTGTTTGGTACCAGGGATCGAACTCAGGTCCTTGTGCTTGTGAGGCAGGTAGCAAATCCCCAGCCCTAAAGAGGGTTTTTTGGTTTTTATTTTATTTTTTGAGAAAGGGTCTTGCTGTATAGTTCAGACTGGCCCTGAACGCAGCAGTGTTCCTCCATCCTGGGCCTCCGAAGTGCTAGGATTACAAGCATATGCCGCCACTCCTGCCTCAAGATAGCTGCATGAAACACGGTGATATTGGGGATTGAACCCACGCTTTGCCTACATCTCTAGAACTTTTTTTTTTTTTTTTTAAGTTTTGAGACAGTGTCTCACTAAATTTCTGAGTTTCTCAGGCAAGGTCCTAACTTGTATTCTTCTTTGCTCAGCCTCTCAGAGTGCTGGGATTATAGGTGGGAACCAGCATGCCTTGACTGTTACTTAGTTCTTAAAAATGATTTTTTCATTGTAATAATCACCTCTTGCACTCATCAAGAGAAATTTATATTCAAGAAGAATCCATTTTAAGTGCTATAAATACCAAATGTTCTATATATGCTAAGTGTAAATTTGATTTACAACTCAGCAAATAATTGGTCAAGATTGGTTTAAATAATTTTGTTAAAAGATTTATTTTTCTTTGGTACCAAAAATAATATCAATCATCACCTTTAATTTGCCCATTCCCAGGAAGTCATTTTTACTTAGAATCTGAAATATATTTTATATTCATGTGAACATTGGCTGCCAAAATAGAATAGTTCTTTTCTGATGCACAGCCATAATTCTTCCTATTTCTGCAAGGAAACAAAGCCAAAGATTTAGTACCTATTGTGGTGAAAACTTCCGCATGGTGATAAAAATGAGCAGTAGGCAAAAACACTTAACAGTGCAACTGAAGTGGTCATGCTTTGATGCTGAAAAACTCTGGAACTCAGACTCTGCACTAATATAGACTGTTCTCCAGGCATTATCACCACTGGATCCACTATGGTAGAGCACAATTATTATGTATCTGCCTACAGAATTCAGTACAGTGATGATGGGCGGAATTGGACTGAGTATAGTGAGAAGAGGATGGAGCCGTACAAGGTAAAATGATTACCAAGTATTTTTTAAAATAGGCCTTTGCCAAAAATCATAAAAGTTCAGCTGTATGGAGATGCCCTCATTTTGTCTTCCTCTGCCCTCTTCTGGTTATTTTAGGTAGTGTTATATATTGTCTGCCCTAACTGGTTAGAAAATTCTCCCTTGATTCTAGATCCCTTTTTGAGTACTTTACTGACTTTTGTGACTGCATTTTTAACTGAAATTTTTGGTCACTTCGTTAAGAAATACTAAAAAGCAACTTGCAATTTCTTGTCTTTATAAACTTAGCTTGTTTCCAGTTTTCTGCTCTTTAGACAAGAGGGGAAAAAGATAAAAATGGTGAAAGATAAAGTGCTTGGAAGATCTTGGAAGAGTTGGGAGATCTTTTCAATATCATCTAACCACCTTTTATTTTACAGAACTTCTGTTTTCCTATCTGAAGTGTTTCTTTAACATCTAATGATAATTATGAATTTTTGTTTCACTTAGCAAAAGATTATAAAAGTCTGATATGAGCCAGAGAAGATAAGATGTGGAGAATAGTTAGAAATGGATTTCCCCAGGTGTTTACACCCTTCACTTACAAAATTCTTCTGGGCTTATGTCCTGTGATCCACCGCAGGGATTTTTAAGTGGGGGAATCCCTGTCCCCAAGCCAGATAGATGCCTCCCATCTAGACTTGAAACTATGAACATAATTTTCCAATGAAATTTTCAACTAAGTTTAGTTTGATTATGTGATATTTTGTTTTGTATTATATGTTTCATTTGGTCATAATCTTCAATTTCCACTTTCCTCATCAATCTCTTTAAAATTCCAGGGATCCTTATCTTTATATAATATAAACTCTTGTGCTACTGTTCATGGCCTTCTTTCTTATCTTGCTTTTATCTTGTGAATTTCATCTTTGCTGAGTCTCTAGCTGTTGAAGCAAATAGCAGTACATCTCTGTACCTGTCTTCTGCTTAATGCTCCAAATTTGGTGATTCTTAATGCTAACATATTCTTCCCCCCTCCCATGGATCAAACTCAAGACCTCATGCTTGTGTGCCACTGAGCTAAATCCCCAGCCCAGAAGTTTGAAAATTTTAAGAATGTTCCATTCTTATATTGTAAAGAAACCCAACAGCATTGAATTATATATTTCTGAAAAAAACTTAACTTTGTTTCATTTTTGGAAGATAATTTCCCTAGCTACAGAATTCTAGGTTGACTTTTTTCTTTCCATATTTTAAATAAATTGGTCCATTTTTCTGACTTATGTTGTTTTTCATGAGACATCTGCTATTAATCTAGAGTATCTTTCATAGTTCGCTAATAGAGCATATAACTTTCAATGTCTTTACCAATTTTATCATATGTATTATACTTGGATCTTTTTACATTGATTAAGTATTATACTATTTAACATGCCTAGTATGTGTTTTTGTTTGTTTGTTTGTTTTGTTTTTTTAGTCCTGGGGATTGAACTCAGGCCCTGGCACTTGTGAGGCAGGTGGCAGCACCACTGAGCTAAATCCCCGGCCCTTAACATACCTAGTAACTGCCATTATGTCTTTGCTTGGGGGTAGATTTTTTAAATTGTCATTATTATTCCACTACACATTTTTGAGCTTTATTTTTAATGTAGCTTGGCTACTGGAAAATAGTTTGTTCTTTTTAAGGCTTGCTTTTAAACTGTGCTAGGCTGGACCTGAGCAACCTTTAGTTCCAGTTTTTCCCCACCATTGAGAAAATACTATTCTAAGTATTCAATTCAGTGTCCCTTGTATTATGGAGTAGGGCTGGGAATTTTAGCTCTTACACGTGCAAGATCCTGAGTTTGAGCCCCAGTACTGGAAAAAAAAAGGCAAGGTGAAGTATCTCCATTTTATGTGTTGGCCACATGAGGTATTCCCAGACCTGTGTATCTGTGAGAATCATTCTGCTGATTCCTAGTGGTTCTTTTCCTGGCCACTGTCATTTCATCAAAGTCAGCCTCATTCTCCCTCTCCTACCTTCTGTCTCTCTCCAGCTCTCATCTTTCCTATACTGCTCTACAAATTCTGACTGCTTTTTGCCCTTGCTGTTTCTGAGCTGTCTCTTCAACTGAGATCACCAGGCCCTGTTTAGGATCTCTGCACTGTGACCTGGAAGCTTTCTCAAGGTAGTACTTGAGTGGTGGCAGATCTCATCTCATTTGTTTGCTTTTTCTGTACAATTATTGCCTTAAGCTGTCCATTGTCCAATGTCAGAAAACCATTGTTTTATGTATTTTGCTCCATTTTTCATGTTTAAGGCCAAAGAATAAATCTAGTCCTTGTTGCTCTATCATAAGTAGAAGTACAAATTCTCACATTGAACTATGTGGTATAACAATTTTTTTCTCTCATTTGTCCATCTGCTTCCTCATCTATCCCCATCTCAGGAAATTTGTGTGTTGATTTCCTAAGCCTGTACTGTATATACATATAGACAGAGACTAAACTTCATTTTATTTTTATAAAATAGGGTTGATATACATATACAACTTGTTTTCATGATTTATTACTTTCAATATGCCATATATATATTTGGTAACATCCAGTAAGATTTAAGTCCCTTGAAGAATAGAAACTCAAACTTCATTTTCTAGTCTATCCTAATAACATCTTGCAAACCTCTCTATACTGGGATTCTCAACACACCTGACTATAGTACATCACTTTTACTGTTTTATAAAATTGTTGTCTAAGACTTTTATAAAATTGAGATTACAATATATAGACCTTATAATCATTTTTTAATTTATTACTATATGCTTTTAGTACATAATGTTTACATTCACTGTGGGGAATTGGTACTTGTACATTATACATCTTAATTTCTCTTTCATCTCCTTTTACTTCCCTTCCTCCCTCTTCTTCTCATCTCTTGATTCTCTTTTTTAGGGGGAGGGGTACATGTTTGCAGTAATATTTTTTTATGTCCTAAAATGATGTTTTTCTCTCATTCCTGTTCTAAGAGTACAAATAATTGCCTTTATTTTAGAGAAATATTGAAGGAAATCATGGAAGCTTATAAGTATGATTATTATAATTTCAAAACGAACCTTTTAGAAAATGAAGGATATTCGCTCATCTTTAGAGACTTTTAATTCCATGAAACAGCCAAGAAGAAATAGCCATATTATTTGGGAAACTAAGCATTTACTTATTCTACTTAGCTGGTGAAAAAAATACGAGTTTGATTTTATGCCACTGTATTATGGGTCTTAAGAAACTACCTAGTTGATCTGGCTGGAGGGATCAAGCAAGGCACTTCATGGCTTTTTGGGACTATGTATTTAATATTGCACTGTCCAGTAGATTCTTTGAGTCAGCTTTCTGTGCCATGCCGATTCATCCTGAAGAGCTTCTGAAGCAGTTATCTGAAAATACTTTATAAACAGTTGATCCAGTGTAAGATACTATCATTATTTTTCTGGAAATAGTTAATAGAACAAGTCACTTGTTCCCTCTGAGAGCTATTTATAGAATATATTTGTAGCTGTTGAGTTATGATCATTTAATTAGACCACATGGTATTATAGAGTTACTTGTCTGGTTCATGTAGCAATGAGTAATGAAAACTGGAATTATGGGACCTGTCTTAATTGAGTTTATCCAGTAGGTGGAGGTGGACATATCTGTTATCAGCTAGTATATGTTCCCTTTCAGTTTGAAAACAATTATAACAAGTACACAAATTATTTCCTGTATGACTTTGTATGATCAATTATTTTATTTTAAAAATAAAGCTAATACATATAAATAATTTGGAGTTTCACAGGACTAGAATTAATAATTTATGAATTCAATAAAATGTTTCTTTGTGACTGAAACTCTTTTCCAAAGTTGCCAAGTTAGCACTCTTGTTAAATTCTTGAATTGTTTTTGTATTCAATATTTTTATTTTATAAATTTGTAATGAAAAGTTTTTAAAATTATTAGTTTATTTTTTAGAAATTAATTCTTACTGTGATGCTTTACAGATGTTTAAGGCTTAGAGCAAAAAACATGTTTAAATGGAACAGTTTAGCTCTATTCTCTGTTAATGTAAAATATCAATAAATTTGTTTTTTTTTTAAAGATATTTCAAGGAAACAAAGATTATCACCACGATGTGCGTAATAACTTCTTGCCACCAATTATTGCGCGTTTTATTAGAGTGATCCCTATGCAATGGCAGCAGAAAATTGCCATGAAAGTTGAGCTGCTCGGATGTCAGTTTATTCCTAAAGGTAAAGAGATGTGTTTAACACTTTATTTTCTTGTTTTTGTTTGGTTTTTGGTTCTTTTTGAGACAGGGTCTCACTGCATAGTTGAGACTGACCTGGAATTCACTATGTATCCCAGGCTTGTCTCGAACTCAAAGCCAGTCTTCCTGCCTCAGCCTCCTGAGTGCTGGGATTACAGGCGTGTGCCACCACGCCCAGTTTAACACGTTATTTTCAATGGATTGTTAATTTTTAAATATTTAAAAATTGTCACACAATAATTAGGTTTATATTACTACACATATGAAATACATTTGTGTGACATTTCAATCAATGCGTATAAGATGTGACTATCAGATCAGGATAGTTGACGTGTGTCACTTCAGACATATATTATTTCTTTGTGTTGGGAACATTAACAAATTCTTTCTACTGGGGAGTTAAATGAGAGAGTGATAAAATATGAGTGCTTTTGTGTTTAATTATAGTATATTTTATAAGAATTTTTTAAAATTGATGATTTTCATATTAAAAAGTTGGATCTAGGATTTAGCTCAGTGGCACTGTGCCTGCCTTGCAAGTGCAAGGTCCTGATTTCATCGCTGGTACAAGAAAAAAAAAAATAATGGCATATTAAAAAGTTATATATCAGAATTACCAAAATTACAAGTGAAAGAAGTAGCATCATTCTTGTGAGATAATATATTGATACAACTTTACAAATGTAGATTCAATTTTAATTTTTAATCAGGTCTCATGTACTATAATATAAGCACTGAAGATTAGAACCATAACTGAGGCCTAAGTACCTCTCACTTTGCATTAACTAAGAGTGGCAATTACTTATCACAGTATTTTACAATATTTTAATCGTTTTTTCTGCTGTATCCCCCAAAACTACCACAATGCCTGACATATAGTTTGTTCTCCATAATTACTACATTAATTAATATGTCAAATTGTGATACCTTTATAATGTCAGATTTCAACATCATTTTGCTTCTTAATATCCTGATTATTTTTAGATGATTTAATTATTTAAAAATGAAAAATCTTGGTATATTTGTATACTTAATGTAGAATATAATATTTATACTTGATATATTCTCTGAGATTTAAAATCACTCTGAAAACATTTAATAATATTCCTTTTTAACTGTGGTTTATTAAAAGAAAAATGTATTAAATTTTGTAAACCATTTTTCAAGGTCGTCCTCCAAAACTTACTCAGCCTCCACCTCCTCGGAAGAACAGTGACCTCAAAAATACCACAGCCCCTCCCAAAGTAACCAAAGGTACACTTGCTTCTAATGTGAGAATAATAGTACCTAGATTTGTACTATAATTTTGATACATATATTTAAACATTAAGAAATAAATTCATCTTAAGGTATAGATAAAAAATTGTTTTAAAATCTTTTTTCAAGGTCGTGCGCCAAAGTTTATTCAGCCACTACAGCCACGCAGTAGGAATGAATTTCCTGTACAGCCAGACCAAACAACTGTCACTCCTGATATCAAAAATACGACCATAACTCCAAATGTAACCAAAGGTATGTAAATGCGAAAATGAATACCTTGTACGTTATAGTGTTTGTTTTTACCAGATGCTTTCAGGACCATTTCTAGCTTAAGGCCTTGGTTAAACTGTATTTTTTAAGTCTTAACAAAAAGTGTAATTTCACTCTTTAGAGAAAGGACTGGTTGCACTGATCTATGCTCTATTCTGTAGTACCATGTAAAATTGCTGTTTCAATATTTAGAGAAGACTACTGTTTTATAGCCTTTCTCTTTTTGTATTTTCCCCCATCTAGCTAAACATTGAGTGTCAGGCTTAGAAATACAATATTTCTTGAAGTCACTAAAACCAAGCACTTTTTTTTTTCCTCTAGTGGTATATTAATTAGTTGGACAAGAAACGTGGTGGCAAAGAGGGAAAACAAAAACAGAACTGTTGGGCGAATATTTTTTTTTTAAAGTACTCTGTTAACATACTCAAATTTTCATTGCTTTTTCTAAGTTTATAGTTATGATTTCAAATTGTATTGCCAGAGAGAAGATGTTCAAAAGTACGAAACATAATTAAAATATACAAAATATAATTCTTTTTACTAATTGTTGAAAAAATTTCAGTTGAATTCAGGGAAAAAATAGAATGTATTGTAGTGAAATTAGTATTAGTGTGGACAGATAAAAAACATTCTGAATTTCAGGAAAAGTGTAGAGAAGTGAAAGCAAACCAGAGAGATATTTGCCACATGGAACTCCTTTATTCTCATTTTCTAAAAATTGGCTAGATTGAGATAACTTTTTTTTTTCAACATACCATATGCCAGTTTCTTCCTTATCTTTTGAAGTATTTCAAAAGATCATTTTCAGAGTTCTCAGAGGCAAGAAATCTTAACATCTCCCAAAGAGTTTCTTCCAATTTGCAGAAGTCATTTGTTTAGGCAGAATCCCCGGCCACATGCCTGGATGGAAGAACAGTCACTTAACATACTGTTCCATCTTAAAATCTGATTAGAGTATCAAAATCTCAAGGTTAAGAGCATCTTTAAAATCTTCCAGAACTAGGATTCTTGTAACCTTAAAAGGAATAAGAGAATGGGCCAGTCTTCTTAATTGAAGGTTTCTTGCCTTCTTTTCTTTGACATGGTAATGCATAGATTTATTACTTTTTAAAACCTCAACAGATACTTTAATCACACTGCATTCATCTAAACCTGTTTTCTCCAGTTTAACAAATTTTAGGAAAAAAACATTTACTTTCCTTGAGTCCTTCCTAGACTGAGTTTTAATTTCTGTTTTATACACTTCATTTTCTCTATTTTTACATTCAGGCCAAGAGTGATTTCAGGGAGAAAGTCATGTCATGGTCAGATGTTTGCAGGCGATCATTCAGATTTTGGTAGTGAACTCTTCAGTTTGTTCTTACTGAAACTGGTTTTTTTTTTAAACATTCTCCATACTTTTTTAAGCATTTGAGTAGGAGGTCTTTATTCACTCTCAGTTACTTCTCCAACTTTGCAAAAAAAAAAGTAGAAACCATTGGAAGGGAGTTTCCTTCTTAAGGAGCCAAGAAACTTAACGTCCATCTTCTGTTCACTGCCTTGATAAAGGGGGTCCCTTGTGCTTCCTGGAGGTAATAACTTCATCTGTTCCCTGGCACCCATCCTTTGGCTTCTCAATGCCCTGACATTATTGATTATGCTGTCCCTCCCGCACTGTCATCAGCCTTTTCCTCTTTTTTTAGATACAGTGTGAAAGGAGTAAAAAAGATGCTGCACTTAGACTCACTGCAGTATCTGGGTCATAGCTCCAAGTGAATATCAGTAGTTGCCACTATTCTCATCCTCATGGCTAGGAGGAGATTGAAGGATGAAGAAAGAAACTAATATTCAAGGTACCCTTGGTAATTTCACTTTGTGTACCAGGGCCCAGGATTTTTTATGAGTAGAGTAAGATAAAGATATTAAATGTTCTCTAAGTTTTGGCAAACTCCAGCATTTGATGATTTCTGACCTGTTGATAGACACTTCTTTGGTCAGCTTTATTGAGCTGTTTTGTTACCTTCCAAATCTATAAATATTTTGCTGTTATAATACAATTTTCAAGTGCTAAATTATATTCTGCAGTTAGGAGGACACCATGATTTCATTTATTCCCTCTCATTGGGTATTCAGATTATTTCCAGTTTTTCACTCTTATGTAGAAATAGAAATTAACATCTTTGATGGTATATCTTAGAAGGTCGTCTTAATTTCATAGGAAGAATAAATTCTAGCTGTAGAATTACCAACTCTCATAAGTTTTTGTTTGTTTGTTTTGGCACCAGGGGTGGAACTCAGGTCCTTGCACTTGCGAGGCAGGCAGTGGAACCACTGAACTAAATCCCCAGCCTTCACATAAGTTTTTATGCATATTTCCTCAAAATGCCAATCAGAAAAAATACACTTTATATTCCCATTTTTTAAAATACCTGTTTCCCATCATTCTCAACAATTAGTTGTTCTTTTAAATATCTGTCACATTGATAAGCAAAAATAGTTATTTGTTCTTGTTTTAACATATTTGATTACTAATGATGCTAATTTATTTAAAGCTTATTTGTATTTTAATGTATTGTTGATTGATCTGCACTGATTTTTTTCTGTTGTTTGCTTTTGACTTTGCAGTCCTATATTCTTTATATTACATATGAAAAAAATTCACTTTCTCTACTTATTGTTTGTCTTTCTATTTTATTTTGGTGATGTACATCTTAACAAAATTTTTAAACACAAATAAAGATGGAATGATTAGTATATCTGTGAAACTTTCTACAGTTGTTAATTCTTGCAGTTGTTAACTCAGTCTTGTTTCATAAATTATAGAAAAGCTATTTGTTGATACAGGAAAATGTTAAGCAATGATATAGCTAAATCTTTTCAGTCTTTTCCCACATTAGTTTTGCCTTCTGTGTTAATGTGTTTAATGTTTTTAAAAAAATTATGCCTTTGATGTTAATGTGGTTTTTTTTAATTGTTAAAATTTTTATAATTTTAGATGTAGCATTGGCTGCTGTTCTTGTCCCGGTGCTAGTCATGGTCCTCACTACTATTATCCTAATATTAGTATGCGCTTGGCATTGGAGAAACAGGTTAGTACAGAGGTAGTTTACCTCATTGGTTCTGGGGGTCAGAGGGAGTTGTCCAATGTTAAATAAAAACTAAATGTAGAAGATAAACTATATTCAGTGCACTTTATCCATTTGAGAATGAGTGTCATTAGAATTAAAATTACATATATTTCTTATTATTCCCATTATCCCATTAAAAACTAATAAGTTCAGTTTCCAGTTAATAACTTAGCATCTGGTGGGTTTTTTTGTTTGTTTTTTGTATCGGGATGGAACTGAGTTCCTTGCGCTTGCAAGGCAGGTGGCGGCACCACTGAGTTAAATCTCCAGCCCTATTATATTAAGTTCTGCATTGCACATTGGAATCTGTGCAGTAATCTGATCAATGTTTGATATAATAGATGCGTAGTCATTTTTACTGAAGAAAGTGACTTAATTCATTTCTCTGAAGTGATGAGTAGGGTTGCCTGACCCAAAATAAGGAACTATCCTGTGGTTATACATGAAATACCTAGTACTAAAGAGAACCTCAAATGAATTTGAAGCCTTTTCTTCAGGAAAGGAAAATTCTCATATTTCACCTTAAAGGAGTTGGGGTTGCCTTGATACAGGAAGGTAGATGGATGTCATAGACTGTTTGGAGCATTAGAGGAAAATACCATAATGGGGTAACTTTTAAACAACAAACCTTTATTTCTCACACTTCTGGAGGCTGTGAGGTACTGGCATATTTACTGACCAGTGAGGGCCCCCTTTCTAGTGCAAAGAATACCTTCTTTTTCTGTCCTCACATGGCAGGAGGTATGAGCAGGTTCCCTCAGGCCTCTTTTCCAAGGGCACTAGCAGGGTTAGAATTTGGAAAGACACAGACATGTAGAGGGTTACAATGGAGAATAGCCCAAATCGAGGGAATTGCCTGAGTAAACACAGAATATTGAATTATCTTTTGTGAGGTTTACGTGAAGGAGTCCTTAGCAGCAACCATAGAAATATAGTCTCAACCTGAATAAAGACAGACATTCTGGGAGACAGAAATTTAGCTTTTATTCTGTGGATGGGATAATCATTGAGTATTAAGTACATAGGTGATACTGTTGTATTATTATAGAAGGATAGTGACAGGATTTATGAAAAGTGAATTGGATTAATTGAAGAGGAAAAAGAAAGTCAGAAATGAGTTATGAAACTAATTAGGCCTGGCAGAAACATGGCACTGATTCTAAGGAAGGGAGGAGATGGAGGGGAGATGGTTCAGAGCAGCATCAAAAGGATGCATGAGTAATTGTGTCCGGAAGAAGGATGGATCTGGGGTGGTTTGTGGTCTCTGTCTTGTCCAGTTAGACCAGTAATGATGTCACGTTGTGATAACAGCAGGAAGGACAGGTTTGGTAGAGAAAGAGTATGGTTGTATTTGTTCAATTATTCAACAGATACCTGAATAACTTGGCTGCTACCCTGTGCCAAGTATTGAGCCATGTGCTAAGCAGTCCAGAAGTGAACCTCAAAGCTTATAGACCCGGAAAAGATATAATGCAGAAAACTGTCAGCTTTGGTGTGGAGTACAGAATTTGTGTCACAGGAGGGAGCTAGAGAAGCATCTTAGGTAGATTCAGATTCACGGTATTGGGAACACTGAGCAGAGCCAGTGTGTTAGTCTGAAGACAGTAAGGAGAGGAAGAAAAGAAGAGGGCTGCAGAAACGGGAAGAGGGAAAGTGCATGTTCAGTGAACTGAGCAAAAATAATAGCAATGACAAGGCCAGCAATATTAACTTTTCTGAGGTCACTGGCTAGAAAGTGGCAGAGTAGTTTTTGGGCCAGGCTTCACAGCTTATGCTCTTAGCCACTGCTGTCTACGAAGGTATAATAAATAAATGAATAAATATAATCAACTGTGGTAAAAACATAAGGGTGTGAGAATGAGGGTAGGATAGAGGAGTTTTTGAGAGGGAGGTAGGAGTTAGGTCCTGAAATCAATTTGGGATGGTGTTTTATTAAAGGTCCCTTGATTCCTAAAAGGAGTTGGAATACATGTCTGGCATTCAGGACAAGAGGACTGAGCTAGAGAATTGGACTAACATTGTAGTTGAAATTGCTGATTTCTAGCTTCTCTACAAAGAGTAAAGGAACAGATGCCATCAAGGGGCTGTGGGAAATAGGAAGGAGAAATAATAAAAACAGGTGCAATTTATTGAATCCTTAACCCACTTCAACCACTGTTTTAAGCACTTACATGTAAGGAATAAATAACCTGAAGCCTTGTCACTTGCAGTTTAATTATAAAATCTTTTGTACTCAGCCTTTAGTATTGAGACCATTAATTTTTGGCCTAGTTGTATAGACTATCACTTTCATGTAGAAAACATTAATTTTTTTAAAAAACCTTAGGGTAATAGTTTCTCTGGTGTGAATAAACTATAATAGTACCTAAGATCCTAATGATATAATGGACAATGTGAAATTGGAAAAAAGGGGCTAACGGTATAGGGAAAGTGGGAAGGGTAGGGGAAAACTATAAGGGAAAAGAAAAAAATATGAGAAAATGAAAAAATGGAAATAAAGTATTTGTAAACAGGGAGGTGGGGGGTGAAGGGAGGGCAGGGACAAGGGGAAAAAATGAGAACCAAGACCACTCATGTAAAGGTACAAGATCCCAATAGTGAATGTAACTGTACTGTATACCTAAAATGTACCAATAAACTCAATGAGGGAATAAAATAAAATAAAATAAGCCTTAGGGTAATAAGAGCAGTGGTCCTCAGCCTTTTCAGATACCATTTTGGTACAAGACAGATTTTCCACAGTGTGGGTTGGGGGTTGGGAGGGTGAGGGGGATGGTTTTCAGATGAGTCAAAGAGCCTGCAACTTACTTAATATGCAAATCAAATGCCATCACTGATCTGACAAGAGGCAGAGCTCAAATTTGCTCTCCTACCTGCCAACTCACCTCCTATTGTGCAACTTAGTTTAAAATAGGTCTCTCCCTGGTCCAGGGTTTGGGCCCCAGGTCTGAACTAGAGGGTTTTCAGGGAGAAAAGTACTTAATAAGCTGTCATATTTTATCATTTCTTTTCCATTCCAGTTTTTTATTACCAGCTTTAACACCTCTTATCTTTTCCACAAGTTTATATTATACTTCATTTTGAAATAATGAAATAATTTAAATATAGTCGTGCTTTAAGATGAAGAAATTTAAATATCAATAATAAAAATAGCCTTACATTAGAAATAAATGTTTTCCAGTAGGAAAAATAAATGGCTTGGGCTCTTAAGAAAGCCAAATTTATGATCCTGAGCAAATCATATAGCTTCCTTACTCTCACTTATAGACAAGAATAATTTCTGCCTTCTCATTAGTCCGAAAAGCATTAATTTTAGTTAAATTAGATTTATACAACTGAATCGGAAAGTATTTTTTTATCTTGTTCTTTTTTTGTAGAAGCTTTTTGATCAACAGTAATTCTTTTTTTTTTCAGCTTTAATTGAGTTTATTGGTACATGTTAGGGATATAGTACAGTTACATTCATTGTTGGGATCTTGTACCTCTACATGACAAGTCTTGCTTCTCATTTTTTTCCCCTTATCCCTGCCCTCCCTTCCCTCCCTATCTACAAGCACTTTATTTCCATCTTTTCATTATCTCACATTTTTTTCTTTTCCCTTTTTACCTTCCCCTACCCATCCCACCTTCCCTACACCTTTAGCTCCTTTCTTCCCATTTCTCAATGTCAGTAATCTTATTAGGGTCTTCTGTATTATTGCAGATTATTCACACCAGATCAACAGTAATTCTTAACAGAGGGAGGGATTTCTTCTGGGGAGAACAAATTAGAATTTTTAGAGGTGGCTTGGGGAGAATCTTTTTTGTTATACTTGATGGCTTTTAACTCTCCAGACATTCTGTGGTGCATCCCAGGCTTTGAGAACCATTTTCCTCCCTCTGCCATTTGTCACTGTTAGTATTGATTTATGCTGAAATATGAAGGGAATGACATCTGTGCAATTAAGGGTATGAGACACTTCCAACTTCTCTCGAGCAAAGAACTATGTAAGAAAAGCAGAAAATTGGAAAAAAAGAACAACAGAATAGAAGACCAGTTGCTTTTTTTTTTTTAGTGTAAATTTTGTGAATAAATTGATTTATGAAATTTGCATTTGCATCCAAAAGCCTATCATGATTTGCCTATAGTAGCCCACCTGTCAGGGCTTAGTCTTTGATTGTCTTTTAATCTACAGACTTGCCTTTCTTTATTTTCATTACCATTTCCTGTGAATCATAGGTGGATGATAAGGTAAATTTATTGAGAGCCAGAATTTAAACAAGCTTCAGCACTGGTAACTCCAAAAGTTAAATGAAGTAGAGAACTCCCCCAGGTAGATCAGCAAGTAGAAATGAGTGTTCTTGACTAATTATTAACTCAGGTGTTCATGCTGCAGTTTCAAAGGTTTCTTACCAGAGTATGCGCTCTGCTTGCTAACATTTCCTTCTGTACTTTTCCAGAAAGAAAAAAACTGAAGGCACGTATGACTTACCTACCTGGGACCGGGCAGGTAACTTATGTGGACTTTGCATCTCTTTTCTGTTGAGGGAAATCCATCCATTACAGGTGGCAGTAGTGTAAGAGGATTGTGTTCTCCAGCCCATGTAGCTCCCCCATACGGATAGAAAAGTGGCATGTTCTCATTATTTTTACTCTTCTGCACTGTCTTCTAGTTAATTAATAATGTAGTAATGAAGTGGAAAGTGCAGGTTTCTCATGATACATGCTGTTTTTTTATTGTGAAAGGCTTGTCTGGTTTGTCCTATGTGTCTTCCTCTTAAGGGAGACCAGGTTTCTATGTGGTCTGTGTGAGTGCTAAGAAACAAAGGGCTGTGGTCCCAGTAACGAAGTATGTTTGTCACACTGGTGTGGCTGCTCACTAAGTAGAGTGTAGGAATGAGGTCTACCATCTCTACAGTGATGGTTAGTCATCTTTTCAACTACTACAAGTGACACCAGAGGTCCCTTGACAGCACCCCCCCATGTCACTGCTAGTCTGAGACTATAAAAGAACAGTGGTGGAAAGCTGGGGATTTAGCTCAGTGGTTCTGCCACCTGCCTCACAAGCACAGGTTCTGAGTTCAATCCCTGGTACCAAAAAAAAAAAAAGAAGTCAAGGACAGTGGTGGAGCAGATCACAGGGCTGCTGGTTCCCTAGGGTAGATCTTGGAAAGAATTGTTTGAGAAAAACTCATTTAAAACCATCCTTAACATAAACACTCTGTCTGGATATAACAGCAGTGATTTGCGTCTGCATATGCATTTGATAGATATTTCTACGATGTTCTGCTTTCCACTGGATATTAAAGCAGAAAATAAGCTTGAATATAAAGGCTGGTTTGTTTTAGCTATGTATTACCATGTTCTACCTTGCACTGGATGTCCTGTCAAAGCAGAAATACTCTTGAAAATGAACGCTAGTACAAAGATATTGTTATACAAATAAATGGTCTTTTTCGCTTATGATCACAATGAAGGTTGGTGGAAAGGAATGAAGCAGTTTCTCCCTGCCAAATCAGTGGAACATGAGGAGACTCCAGTTCGCTACAGCAGTAGTGAAGTTAATCACTTGAATCCGAGAGAAGTCACCGCAATGCTACAAACTGACTCTGCAGGTAATTATGTGGCAGCTTTTGGGCACCAGGGTAGAGGGAAAAACTGCCTATGTTTTCTATAAACTGTCTTAGGATTGACAGTATCTTTGATGTTTTTCATGTTAAAGAGAAACTGTTTTGTTTTGTTTTTGTCGCTGGAGATTGAACTTGGTGCCTTGTGCTTGCAAGGTAGGCAGCAGCACCACTGAGCTAAATCCCCAACAAGAAATTATTTTTGGAAGGTAGACTTTTAAAAAAGATGACCTTGGGCTGGGGATTTAGCTCAGTAGTGCTGCTGCCTGCCTTGCAAGTGCAAGATCCCTAGTTCGATCCCTGGTACCAAAAAAAGATGACCTTGGGGCCAGGGATTTAGCTCAGCGGTTCCACCTGCCGTGCAAGCACAAAGACTGAGTTCCATTACCAGTACCAAAAAAAAAAAAAACATGATCTTGAGAGAATCATTTCTGTCTTTGTTCTGTTCATGACATTGGGCCATTTATTTCTAAAGGCTTTGGGAATTTAATGTATTAAAATATTGTTTTTGTCTTGTTTTATTTTGGGCAAGAAATGGTGACGAGACCAGGAAAGACAGAAAAAGCCTTACAGTATCCTATATTCTAGTATACATTCATTTTAAACATTGTCTTATATATGAAAAGGAAAACAGTTTGTTTGTTTGTTTTTTTTTGGTACCGGGGATTGAACTCCGGTCCTTGGGCTTGCAAGGCAGGCCACCGAACCGCTGAGCTAAATCCCCGGCCAGTTTGCATTATTTTTTAAAATTAATACTTATTCCAGTAATGAAATACTTCTTTTCTAGTGAAATACTCTCTAAATCTAAAGAACATAAACAAACATTCTGTGCAAAGTTAAATGAATAAAGCTTTGTGGCATATCATTCTAAGATATTAGATAACATCTTTAATTTTGAAGTATGTTCTTACAGGCGAGAACTGCATAGGTCTGCATCAATAGCAACAATAGTGCCATAAATGTTTGTTTTTGGTGCAACTTGCAGCTGCTACCTTAAGTTATGGAATTGCTGTATTAGTAAGATAACATTTTATTTGTGTTTTGTGGCATCCACAGAGTATGCACAACCACTTGTGGGAGGAATTGTGGGTACACTTCATCAGAGATCTACCTTTAAACCAGAAGAAGGAAAAGAAGCAGGCTATGCAGACCTGGATCTTTATAACTCTTCGGTGCAGGAAGTTTATCATGCTTACGCTGAACCGCTCCCAATCACTGGACCTGAATATGCAACCCCAATTGTCATGGACATGTCAGGACACTCCACAGCCTCAGTTAGTCTGCCGTCTACATCCACTTTCAAAGCTACAGGGAACCAGCCTCCCCCTTTAGTGGGAACTTACAATACACTTCTTTCCAGGACTGATAGCTGCTCCTCAGCCCAGGCCCAGTATGATACCCCTAAAGGTGGAAAGCCAGGTCCAGCTGCCCCACAAGAAATGGTGTACCAGGTGCCACAGAGCACACAGGAAGTAGCAGGAACAAGAGAGGATGGGGAGTATGATGTTTTTAAAGAAATCCTTTGAAGACAATGCTGCTTTTTACCAAGCATCCATTTAAAGCACATGGCCTTTAAAAATAATTATTAGTGGTAGTAATATATAGAATGTATTACATATCTATCACTGAAGTGGTTGAGAAAATGTGGTGGCCAAAGTACAGGAAACTACTTAACTTGCTATCTTGCTTTAAAGGTGTTACTGTTGCGCAGTTATTGCTTGCCTGTTCAGTTTTCAACAACTTGTTTATTACTACTGTAAAACAATATTTTTAATACAGCAAAAGATCCCTATAATGCACTTCAAAGAAACTGAAAATCACTGAGTATTTATTACCAATGCTGCAGGTACATTAATGAACTCGTGTTGGTTCTATAAGCCCTGATGGGCAATAATGCATGGTACTGTTCTTGAAATATCTAATGGCTTGAAATTTTCCTTTTGTGAAAGGTGGGTACTATTCTGTTTTCCCCCTTTTCTACTCCTGTATTGCATCCTGGGTCTTAAAAAATAGTGATATAGCATTGTTTTGATTGTAGCCATATACACTTCTCTATCTTGGGAAGATTGGTGGCTAGAAAACTGACTTCTAATGAGCTGGGTGACCAACTTGTCACTTGCTGACACTCTTAAAGAGCTTTAACACTTCATGGTACAGGACCTGGCCTCATCCGTGCTTATTCTACTTGGGGCCTTTTGTGGCTGGCCTCATTCTTGTTTATAAAATAGTGGTTTTTTTGTAGGTAATACTTTTTTTAATCAGTCTCATAAAATCAGATCCTCTGATGTCTTTAAGTATACTTCTTTATGTGGAAAAATAAGAGAAGCAATTTAAAATTTAGAAAAGTCGTAAAGAAGATTCTATACTCAGAAGTAATATAAATTACCTTGAAAACCAAAAAAAAAGTGATGAGTTGTCCTCTTTGGTTTTTTTTTTTTTTTTAAACAAACACACACATTCTCAAGTCTCAAGGTGTGCTCTAATTTTAGTGAAATAATTTTAATTTGTTTTTCTCAGTAAAACTGTTATAAGAACTAGAAATCCAGTGTATATCCTTCAGTACTATGTGCTTGTGCCTTTTGTGCATAGTAAGAGTTGTGAGTAGTCCTTTGTGTCATACCTGGGGAATAGATGTGATAGCATCCTAGCAAATGAAATTTATAACCCCCAACAACTCTTAGTCACCATTTGTTCATGACCTTCCCAGAAATGGTTTTAGATGGGGTGAATGAGAAGTCATATGTAATGTATTTATTAGCCTATCATACAAAAACCACATCTGAACATCTATCTTTAGACTGGCAAGACAACACAAGTTCACTGTATGATAAAAATATATAAATTTGACATCCCTTCTTCCATGAATCTTAGTTGGTAGACTTGATGTAAAAAATGTACTTAAAATTTTTTTTTCGTTAGTACATGTTTGCAGTAGATAATGTTTACATTCCTTGTGTGGAGTGGTTCAGGTACATATGAGAAAATCAAATTAAAAGTAAAGAGTAAAATAAAAGGTAATAGTAAGGAAATAGAGCTTTCTATTTCCCATTAGATTCTAGTCATTTCTTCTGACTTAATGCCACCAGATTATTTTTTTGCCAGAATTCACTAAATTTGAATAAAGATGAACAGTATTCATTTTGCATGCGTCCATAAGTATTATCGGTACTGTATTCTAAAAACTGTACAAAAAGAATTATTTCTGTGTCTTCCTGGCCTTCTCCAATATTTTGTTGGTTTTATTCACATTTGTTTTTCCTGTTTTAAACTTGGAGGCACAATTTCAGTCATTGGAAAATCAATGCATATTTTGTTTCAAGAAGCACAGCTCCTAAACTTCTGTTAAACCATATCTGAATGTGTAAAGCACATGCATTAATGCAGCTATGTCCTTTCAGGTGGGGACAGAGTAAACCAATTGCTTTGTTGTTTTTATTCATTGTTAGTACACAGAGAATGTACTTCCCAAGTCATGTACCTGTTTAAAGCTTTAAGAGCTATGTTTTCAGTAACTTTCATTTTCCCAAAGAAACTTAATATTTTGTGTAATTGTGTGACCTGATTGCTTTTCCTTGGATCTTGACTTCTTTTTTATGAGAGGCACATTTTCTGAAATGATGCATATTTTAACACTTGATTCATATTGCCACTGTGCTGTCCTTGAACTACCAATGATTTTAATAAAATACCTAGTTTTTACTATTTTTATATATTTTTCTTTCCAGATGAAGAGCTGAGCCTGATTCAAATGGTTTTTCTAGTTTTGTACTTTTAAGTTGTTTTTCATATTAGAGATTTTTTTAATTTTTTGTTTTTTAGTATATTTATAGGTCTGATTATATAGCTATATCAGACTACATATATACACACACACATATATACACAACACACAGCATTGGAGACAATCAAGTAACAACTGAAAATGTGAAGGTAACAATTTTTGACAAATTTCCCTGTAATGTTTATTCTTTGCTTGAAACATTTAATACTTCAGTCACTGTGGTTTATTGTATTTTTTCCCCCTGACAGCAGTTACAGAAATAGAATCAGAAGTGATACAGCAAGTGTGGCACTATAGGTTTCATAAAGTTATGCTGACTTGGGCCATTACTTGATTCAAGGAACTAGCACAATGATACGGTTATCTCTGATTTATCTTTTATTAAACACTATAAACCTAAATAGATCCTGTTGTAAGTGCCAGGTCTAGTCCAGGTATTTAAGTTCATGTTTCACTATTTGCACTTTGCATTAAACAGTGGATTTACTCACTGATAAAAGTGGTCCAAGCAGAGAATTTATGAAGAATTAAAAGTCCATTATGTTTACCTTTCTCCCCTCACCCAGGGGCAAGAAGCAGAACATGAGCTCATTTAAATACGAATGTGGCCTCAAAGTTTTGGAGAGTGATAAAGCTTGCTTCTTTGCCTTGGTCCTACATTGTCACCTGGAGAGGAGAAGGGCTATTAGAAACACCATGTCAAAGAGACAAAGAACCAGTACATTATGTGGGACATTGAAAGCTTTTCCTTTAACCCCTATCAAGACAACTGACCAGCCTCTGCCTAGGAAAATAGTTATTTAGCTCTGTCTTTGGTTTTTCACTTGAAGTCCTTGAACTGCAAAAAATCCACATAACAGTTGGGTGGTTATTGAAATACTTTTAGGTCAACTGTTGCACCAATTCTCACTTAATCCAACTTGTGACTAGTTTTCTTTTTGGTGCTGGGAAAGGTGGAAACAACATGTATTAAAATATATATTGAAAGTAAAAATGATTTGAGTGTCAATTATGTTCTCCTAGAATGTACTTTTCTTACCTCGGCATGTACTGTAGTCACTCAGTATTTGTATATGTTGCTAGAATTTACATTGTATAAATAGTGAGATTTTATTGTATTCATGTTTTTAAAAATTGTGTATATGTGTCTTGCTCAGATTATTTGGCTTAAATAAACTAGCCTTGAAGTTTGTAGATTTTTGTTATAAAATGCCAGGTTTTTCAATATTGCAACATGTGAGAATGCCACTGTTGGGTTTTTCCTTTGATCTCCGTACCCCACCCCCATGGTCAATACTGTCCCTTTTACCTCCCGCTTGATATCAAAAACTGGCAGCAGCCAAGCTGCAAGCCGTGGCTGTGTGGTGTGGAAAAAGTATCCCACTGCACACATGAAGATCTTAAGTCTAGTACCTGCTTTTCCACCTCAGGGTTACTAGAATGTCAAATGAATCTAGGGCATATCCATATAATTAATATCTCACCAGGGTTAAACTATCTACTAGTTGGGCTGGGGACTTAGCTCAGTTACATCACCTGCTATGCAAGCACAAGGTCCCAAGTTTGATCCCCTGTACCTCCAAAAAATAAAATAAATAAAACATCTAGTTTTCTCCCTCAGCTGCTTTGAAGTATTTATTTCTACTCTGATTTAGAGCTGATGCTTACCTTTTATATATTCTCTTTAAGGAAATGATGGGTTGTCAGTTAAACACCAGTATTTCCTAGTAAAAAATATCAATATGAAAAACATTTTATTTAAATTAGAAAACCACCTTGATTCTTAAGGGCTTGTTTGCATGGTCATCTTCCTTAATTTACTACTTTTACTCCAAACAAAAAATGTTCACAATTTAATGAATAAATTAAGCCATGCCCCCCCAAAAAAATGTTTTAAGAATTTTCTTGAGCTCATGTAGGTTGGCTTCTGTCTTTCCTCCTTATTGAGAGAAAATACCCAACACAAGTTAAGGGTGGAAAGGTTTAGCTCACAGTTTGTAGAGGTGTCAGTTCATAATTGCCTGGCTCCAAGGCAAGGTGGCATGGCAGAGGGGCACTGCAGAGGAAAAACAGTTGATGGCGTGCAGAAGACAGCAAAAGTTAGGAAGAAAAAAAGTCCTTTTCTGTATCCAGGCTACCTACCCTTAGGGCAGACAGCACTCACACTCTTAATCCCAGCACACTTACTGTAGCACTGCACCGTGAATTAGTCCCAGCATCACACACATTAGATTCAGACACCTTAGAAAAGCCCCACCTATGAGCATATGACACTTCTGGGGTGATACCTAGATAAAAGCCATAACATTTCCATTTCTTGTGATGCTTGATTCTGGTGAAGTCATACTTTGGTGAGCATTTACATGGGATACAAGTATTTTTACAACATTCACCCGTATGGAGAGGTCTATCCACATACCTCTTCCCCAAATACCTTTGACGCTAATTTTCCAGTCATGTTCCTTCCCAGTTCCTTAATCATGCAATCAGTATAGCCCATGAATCAGTATACAGTCACACATCTGGCCATTTCTTCCAGGCCAAATGTACTACCAGGTGCACTGCCTGAAGTTCTGTGCTCTGGAAAGATTTTCCTTCACCACTGTCCAGGGATGTCCTGGAAAGGGCTGTAATGCTGCAGCTGTCCACTTACAGGTCATGCCTGCATAATGTGCAGAACCATCCATAAACCAGGCCCTAGCTTCCCTTTCCTCTCACAGTTGGTCATATGGTACATCCCATGATGACGTAGGTGCATGCTGGGAAACAAGGCCGTGTTACTGAAGTGGGACACATGGGCATCTGGGCAACTTCATGATCTTGTACCCTCTAGACCTACTCTGGCTCAATCACATATATATCATTTGCACTTAATAATAGACTGCTGTGATATAACCCTGCTCATGATAGGTAACTCAGGTTGCATGGTAACCTGGTATTCCATAGTCATGCATTCAGTTTCCACTAAGACTCAGTAGCAGGCCAAGAACTGTTAAAACAAGAGTAGTTGTTTGCAGATGATGGCGAGCCTTGCTCCAAAATCCTAAAGGTCACTGTTGTGATTCACCTATGGGGACCTGCTAGAGACTCCAAACAGCATCTCTATCTGCCCCTGCCACTTCAAGCACCATTAGATCTGCTGGATCATATGGTCCTAGTGGCAAAACAGCCTTCACAGCAGCCTGGACCTCTTGGCAGAGACTTGTTCTGGGCCCCACTCAACTAGCAGCTTTGAGTCGCTTGGTAAATGGCCCAGAGTAAAACTCCTGAGAATTGTGTTGCCTTCAAAATCCAAACAGGCCTACTAGGCATTGTGCCTCTTTTTTCATTGTAGGGAGAGCCAGATACAACAATTTATCTTTTACCTTAGAAGTGATGTATCTATATGACCCACAGCACTGGACAAGGAATTTCACTGAGGTAGAAGGACCTTGAATTTTAGTTGCATTGATCTCCCATCCTCTGGTTCTCAAATGCTTTAGTAACAAATCCAGAGTGGTTGCTACCTCCTGTGCACTAGGTCCAATCAGCATATCATCAATATAATGGACTGATGTGATACCTTGTGGGAGAGAAAGGTGATCAAGATCCCTATGAACTAAGTTGTGACACAGGGCTGAAAACAGAAAAGTTAAGGTGTATTGCTGGCCTTGCCATCTGAAAGCACGTTGTTTCTGATGGGTCTTATGAATAGATGTGGAGAAGGCATTTGCCAAATCAACAGCTGCATTCTAAGTATCAGGAGATATGTTAAACTGCACAAGCAAGGGTACATCTGGTACAGCAACTGCAACTGGAGTCGCCACTTGATTCAGTTTATGGTAATTACCATCATTCTCCAAGATTCATCTCTTCTGCACAGGCCAAATGGGAGAATTAAATGGGGATGTTTTGAGGACCATAACCTCCAGCATCCTTCAAGTCCTTGATAGTCTGTGCAATCCTTCCAGGAACAATGTTCTTGGTTTACTATTTTATCAGGCAAAGGCAACTCTAATGGCTTGCATTTCGCCTTTCCAACTACAATAGCCTTCACACTACAGGTTAAAGAGCCAATGTGAGGATTCTCTTTTCCGAGTACTAAGTATATCTATGTCAACTATGCCTTTTGGAACAGGGGGAATGACTACAGGATGGATTCAAGAACCCACTAGATGGAGTCAGACCTCTGTTAAATTCCATCGATTGTCTAACCTCCTTAGGCCCTACACTTATTGGAGAGCCACAGTGATGTTTTGGATCCCCAGTGTCCAGTAGTACCTTCAATGTCTGATTATTTCCCTTCCCCAATGTACAGTCAATCAAGAAAAAGCCCTTAGGTCCTTTGGGGGAAAGATGGAGGAAAGATTGATTGTATACATTTTTGGTGCACAAGGCTCACCCAAGGGGTGAGTTCAAAGAGAACTCAGCCTCCCTCATTCAAGGGGTTCTGGATCTATAAACTGGCTCAAATCCAGGAACTGCTTGAGGGTCTGAGATTCCCTTCTACTACAATTTTAAGTAGCTTTCTGTTCATTTGCCCTAAATTTTTAAAAATTATATAAATCCAGTAAAAATTCTGTAGGCTTTATTTCAATTTTGGGAACACCACGACTTATCAGTCAATGTGATAGGTCTACACACGTCAGAGCATTCTGATCATTGTTTTGCTTCTGCTGTCTATTTATGGTGAGTGTGCGCACCCTGCCTTTGGTGATTAAGTGCTTCCACTTGATCTGTGACATGCTAACAAACCCTTAAATTTCCCATTTGAGTGACCATGATCCCCACTATAAGATCTAGCATACAGAGAAGAGCAATAACAGAGCTCTTCAAGGATGCCGCTGCTCCCCTCACAAATCTATTTCTCAAGGTGTTAGTGAACGGTACATTTTCTAGATCATCCCAGTGTAGTGGATTAGGTTTAACATGGCAAATCCACTCAAGCATTGCCTTTTCCCTAAGCCTTTGAATCACCTCATCAATAGTAAGCCATGGAATATCAGGCATCACTGACTCATTCACAGTGGGCCATCTTTTGATTCAGACTTCTGCCAACTGGGCAAATGAACTATTAACACCTTTATTTACTCTGCAAGTTGCATCATTAAATTCAGAATTCCTTCTTAATGGGCCCATATCAACAAACTTGGCCTGATTCAGCTATATATTTTTGCCACCACTGTCCCACAAACATTTATAAAGAGAGTAAATTTTTAAAAATAATGCAAAGCAACCAGATTTTGGTGATTGAATTTAGTTATTTACTCATCCAGAATTGTAGTTTTCTCCACATCCTTTAATTATAAAAATCTCCCTTCTACCAAATTATTATTCATCACAGTCATGGTTTAATTAACTGCAGGGAGAATTAAAAGCAGTATGACTTCCCCAGCCAAGTGGTTACAGTTTGCTATATCAAGGCATAATCATATGCCACCTTCCCACCTGCTTCTTTTACATTAACTAAATATACCTCCCCAAATGTCACATCATAATCAAAATTGTGATGAATTAACTCTCCTTGCTTAGGAAATCACATTCTTTGAAAAGTCTAGGATGAAATAAGATGTTTTAAAACACCTCAAAAACCTAGCTTATTTTAAAAACACAATACAATCAAAATTTATTGCCCTGATAACTAAACATTTCTTGGTTTTCATAAATATATTCACAGAAATTAAGCTGGTGGTTATGAATCACCAGGCAGCAACAGACAATATACATAATTATATGACAAGTTCATCCAAAATATTTTAAAATAAACTAAAAATTGCAATATAAAAATAAAACTAATACTGTTAGCATAATCTTCTGAGTCTGTAGGGTCAATCTTGTGTCAAGTTGATTACAAAGTTTTTTTCTATAATGTCCTTCAAAAAGAGCTGTTCTGCAGTCACATTGTGATATGCATTCTGAAGAAGAAAAATAAAATAAGATTACCATCCCTCTGTTCCAATCTCAGAATATTAACAGCAACAGAATATTCTGTACCTTAAAAGTGCCATACTAACCTCAAACGTTGTCACATGAATATTGTTACCTTCCTACTCTCTGTCTTATTATTCTTGTGTGACAGCTTTCTCTAAAGCCTACTCCATCCTCTTAAACTGCCATTAAAAGGCTTCTTCAGGCATCTTGAATTGTGGTATAAATCAAAAGACTAAAATTTTAAGTCAGAATGGAATTTTTATAAAAGCAGCACCTGGAACTCATTTTTAAAAAATAAATTGACTTGGAGATGAGAAACTACTATAAGGCATGGTTCAGCTTAAGAGATGTGTTTTAAAAATTTGGGGGCCAGAGGTACAGCTCAATGGCAGAGCTTGTGCAAGGCCCTGGCTTAGATCCCCAGCACCATAAAAATAATTTTGTTCTACTGATGGAGACCCTATGTTTTCTCAGGAAGTTGCTTTAGTATTCTACTCTTTATGTGACTCTTGAAATACTACAAGCACTACAGGAAAAATTAGAGCTGAGAATAGGTGAGCCTTTCAAGGCATTCAATTCTTGAACTATTCAAGTAGTATGTGTCTTACATCAAGGGGGAAGAAGAAGGTTAGAGGGACAAAAGACACTGTTAAAATCCAGCCTGAATAATACCACTTCTCAGTTTATGCAGTATTTTGGGATTATGTAAAGGGACTGATTTCATGAAATGTAGTCATATATTTTACAGCAAATCATTTATAGTAATTAAAAAATAGGAAACTCCTTTGCATTCATTCAAAATCCTCAGGTTCACATTTACCAGTATTGATCACTATTCAAGAGAAACATGACCCAGTGAAAAGGTCTGCAAAGCTTTCACAGACAAAGATTGTTTTATGGGGTTACTCTGTCCTAGACCACTGGTGGCAAACCTATAGCATGCGTGGTACAGCTGGCTATTATCATTGAAAGCTAAAGGTTTGCCATCACTGTTCTAGACTATCTTGTCTATATAACTAAAAAAAAAACTATAAATTTAAAAAAAAAATATA